CTCCAGTGTTAGAGCATCACAACTGAACAGAGGAGCATCTGTTAAAAAGCGTTACCTGCACACCAGGTTCTGTTGCTGTAGTATAGTACATACTGCTGTGGTATAATTAAATTGAAGATTAATTCATGCAGTTGTACAGTGAGAAAAGAAAGCTAAGGTGTAAACAAAAGCAGATAGCGTCATTGTCCATTCTAAACGCGCCGGTCGTTGACTACTCGTTTGAATAAGCAGAGCTGTCTAGGTTTGCCTGTCTATTTGTTGCTACGAGCTCGTCTTTGTGTTTCTCTTAATTCTAGGACCAGAGTTCTCCTCCAGGCTCCTTTAACGCGCGGTCCGACTGCTGCTCCTGAAAGTCCCATACGTTCTCCACCGTTTAAACTGGCCATCTCTTCCAGCTCTATAGTATTGAACTTAACGACACACACCACACAACCACCAGGCACTACACACAGTTTAGGATTTAAAGGATGATTTCAAACTTGATCACCATTTGGCATTTATGAAACATGCATTGTAGAGCAGGTTCACTAACGCACACACACACACACTACAGCTGAACCAGGTGGCATTGTAGTGTGCTTAGAGACAAGGTATGTTGGATCTGAGAGAGACTTCTGAAATGTCTTTCAATATAGCAACCAGATGATCTTATAGTAAGATCAATAACTTTGGATTTGCCTCAATGGCACCAATACACTTACGTGTGACACGTTGCGGTCTCATGCCTCAACCATGAAGGGGTATGACAACTGCAGGTTTCATTATCAGAGTAAATTACTAGTAAGAATGATTTTGTGTACAGAAAGCTCATGTCTTGTTCTGTTAAGGTGGCGGATGCTCCATCCACTGTTAAAAAAACATTGCAAAGCTGGTCCCATGATATTTTTTGTCAGATTTTGTCTGAGAAAATATGTTTCTGGGTGGGTTCGCTCCCTACCTTCTTTTCAAGACTAAGTTTTTCTATATTTAATGAACATTCGTAAAGCTCTCTCTCCGATATATTCTCCCTTCCGCGCGTTGGTGTGGTGGGTGAGTTTGTATTTGCTTAAAAATTAGGGAGTGGTGTTTTACATATATTATCATCAAATATCAAAATATTTAATTATAAAAAATGAAAAAAAAATGTAAAGCTTTTCTTTTCTTAACAAGGGGAAAATAATTAGCATTATTTTATTGGTTTATTTCAAAAAAACAAAAAAAAAGATGTTGTTGGGGTGTGCGGTTAGTATAGTTACTTCGAATGAACTGTGGAATGCAGAAAAAACTTCTTGCTAGTTTAGGCTCCCAGCTCCAAAATCTGTGGGAAAATATATGACCAAGGTTTTGACATCATAAAGATTCTGGACCAATCAGGTTTGAGCAGGCTTTGGTTTGTCTGCATGCAGGCAAACAGTCCGTGTGGAGAGCAAAAGAGGCACAACACATTGGCCCAAATGCAATCCCATTGGCTATCATCTGAAAAAGATTTAGCTTTTTGTTAAAGCTGTGCTCCTCCTAGTGCTCCTAATGGCATTTGCAAGATACTACAACCACTCAGTGTAAAAACAACCAATCAGAGCGAAGGAAGACATTTGATTGATGTGTCTCAGTCCCAGGTGGTCAAATACTGACCCTTTGAGTTAGTGGTTTGACCCAGAGCGTCTTTTGCAGCTTTAACTTATTATGCAAATGTACCTTTCTCACCATTCTCTCATATCCATTTGCTAATCAGACTGCAGAGGATTTGTTGGCCTGGTTTATCCGCTTTCGGGATATCTGCTGGCTACACCGGAAGCCCTGAAAACATTGGCTGTTGTGCCCATTATCACAAGATAGCGGATGATTCCAACATTGGTACCTGTCAATCTGATTGACACATTTTGCGCCAAAATTTGCATGCCTTCCTGTAAGAACAGAAGTCTACAGAGTCTATCTTCCCAAATGTGTATAATTGCAGGGTTTCTCATTGCTACAGTAATCCAGTGATTGGTTTTGGCACAGGACCTGGCTACAGGACCAGACCCGATTTGCACTGAGCATGTGTGTATCCACAGTCTGAGACTAGTCCTACAGCATCATGACATCACATGAAAGCATCATGGGAAATGCAGTGATGGAGGAGTCCAAACTACAAACACACATATGATTTATGTCCTGTCCACATGGTTTAACAAACTCAATTGAATATGATACCAACACAAAACACACATACACACATATAAAAACCAAACACACACACACACGCAAACACAAACACGCACACACACCAGCGCTAGGTGCTGCGGTCTTCTTACTCTGATCTCGGCTGCCTTGGCGAGGGCTCTCTCGTCAGTTTCCACGACGTCTGTGTCCCTGGGAGACGACCAGCAGAGAAAACATGAGTGTTTGAGAAGGGAGGAGAGGGAGCACTCATTCTTCCAGTCTGCCTTCCCTCCATCATGCCCTCCTTCCCATGATCCCTCTATTTTTTCCTGCTGCACTGCTGGCTCCTCCATTGCTGCCCTCGCTAGCTGTCTCTACACTGCAGAGGAGGTGGAGCTGCCTCTGTCAAAGTGTCTGTGGGTGTGTGTCTGTGTGTGTGTGTGTGTGGTGATCAATGCACACATGCAGACTGCACCAATGTGAGGATGGCAAGAGAGAGGGGGATGAGTCAGAGTGAAGGCAGTAGGCTTTCCATCCGTAAGACAATTTATTTTCTCTCCTCCCCCCTCCTTTTTTCCCTCCTACCATTGCGCTGCTTCTCTACTCCTCACACATCTCTTACCTCCTCCTTTATTTCCTTCTCCTCCTCCATTACCATCACTGGCCACTGCAGTATGTATCGGTCCAAACACACGCACACGCACACACACACACACACTCACAAAGCTGCAACTAAGCCATTCATAAAAATACCAGGGAGCAGAGAGGCAGCACAGGCAAACATCACCAATCAATGAATAAATAATCACAAATATGACCACTTCTTTCTTGCTTCAATCAACACCAGTCGTGAATTGATTAGGTTTATGATTTACAGTTACTATTTATCACTGTTTACTATAATCTAATCTAATTAAAGAGGTACTCTACCATACAACATGTTTTTTGAACTAAATGATATGACTACACTGTGATGAAACACATCAATGCTGGTGTTAATACCGACATTCTTACCATATTTATGGAAATCTGCATTTTATGGGTTGAAATTGCCCCAGCAAACCATCTACTGTTTTAATTCACTGTGTACCATGCAAGGCCACATAAAAACATTGTTAACGCCTCTAATCCGTGGAGGGCGTCCCGCCTGCCCCAGCCTCTGCTATTAGTGGAAGTCTGTGAAACCGCTGTGCTCATTTTCTAATGTATGCTGATGGAGACACATCATTCACAGGACTTTCTTCTTTGCAATCTTCATCTACCTTCATCCCACACAATGACAGACACACACACATACCGGACAGTTAGCCTCTCTGAGTTGCTAGCTCAGCTATAACACAGCCGCTAGCACAGCTACAACACAGCCAACACACAGAAACTTTTACAGTGAAACAGTGTGAATGAGCCTCCAGCAGACTGTTTCCAGCACGGACATTGAGTCTGACAGCAGCTGCTCGTGGCCGGTAAGCTCTGACTACCAGCTCACTGTTCCTGCTACACTGCTGTGGTCAGTGTGTTAAACACTCCAGTCGCTGTGGAAACCATGGCCCTTAAAGTCACTGTCCTTTGCAGGTCTCTAAAGAATAACCGGCGTTTTCGCAATTTTCTCGTCTTTATCTGCTGTCTTCCACCGCAGTTATAAATGTCAGGTGGGACTCCAAATTGTTAACCGTTTGCACAATTGACATACACACAAATACACTTCAGGGTTGGTTTTACAATCTATCATAGATCTATGTTACACCATTTGCACACATTGACACCATCAG